TCACGTTAACAATTTATGCAGTGATTGGTTTTGTGGACATTATCCATCGCCTAATTTTATCTAAAACTAGGTTTCGGAGACTGGATTCTGTCTCCGTCATCAAGAAAACAGACTATTCTACTGTACCCAATCTACAGAGCTAGCCCTTATGTCTGAAAATAGGGACCAGCTCCATCGATTGGGCCTAAATGGCTTTTTACTTGAGGATGTAGAAAGAATTCAGTCTCTGAAACGTCGTTTTAAATAAAAATTAGGGCCACAGATAATTTCTAAAGAAAATCGATCATTTTTTAATACAGAATCGTTACAAACTTTTAGATAGTAATTAAATGACATAACTTTTACGGTATTTAACGTTCCCAAGTTTGCTAGGATTCCTTATATTTGACTAATTCCTATCTAATAAATCCGATTAAACAGAGTTATTGTAATCAGTACTGCTAGATGGGGCCAGTGCTCAAGTATAACTGCAGCCACACGAAGATAATCCCCAGATCAACAATAGTATCGATCTTATGGTTTGTCCTTTCAGTACTTGAACTTATCTTCGTAAGTAAGATTTATATAAAAAATAATTTTATTCTTCGGAATTACTGGGTTTTGGACTTTGTCACTCGTCCGATATTCTAAAAAACTAAAGAACACAGCACTTCAGAAAATGGATCTGTTTCCGTCCTCAGGCGAGGGGGGAGACACAATTCTGTTGGGTTCCTTAGAAAGAACTAACCTCGATCACTGAACAAATACCAGACTATGCACAAGGTCCAAAAAGCCAGTAATACTGAGTGTTATACACCAACGTCAGAAGCATTTAGAATCTACTTTTATTTTTATCGCTTGACACATTCCCACAAAACTCAGTTCTCTAAATGCAACTCTGGCTGATTGCCTTTGAGTTGCAATCCATTTCTTTTTCATGAGTGCTATGTACAAAATTACACACGCTGATTGGCTCTTTCTTTGGCTTCGAGATCGAGTCTTCATTCATTTCACTAATGATGCTCAACTCACCCTTCTTCGAGAATTGATTATTTCTTACGTTTCCTAATAAAGCTGATTATGTAACGTCATGCAGCTCAGGGAGGGCGAACATCGGGTGTTTGAAATATATACTATTAAGAGAGCTAAGAAAAATACAATATAAAATAACGGTTCCTGAAGGATGAAACAAAATATCCGCTGTAAGCGAAGCGCAATGTTTCGTTATATGGGTCTACTCATTCCAAATGGGGAGCAGGGGAAAACCACTAGATATAGCGACTCAGCTAGAGGCTGAAGTCCTAAGGACTCGGGCTTCTGTTCCAAATTTAAGGAAGAGATTTCTCCTTTCTGCCCAACACCCAGGCTAACTCTGGGACCCACCCGTCCTCCTGTGGGTACCAGAGCCTTTTGCCCTAGAGTAAGGAAACGTGACGTGTAGCTGGCCACTCTCCTCCAGCTAGTGCCGAATTTAAGAATACATGGAGTTATACATTCAATTCCCAACACGTCTTCATGACTTGGGGTTTAATTAAACAAGGTCAGATTTTCTGTTACCGTTTACTTGTTCAAATGCATAAGATATTAGCCTACATTTCCGGTCACTGTAACCGAGCGGTCTAAGGGATGTATTTTCTTGGCTCGCTCGGAAGCCGGGATCGTGGGTTTGAATCCTACACAAGGCATGGATGTTTGGTCTGCGTATGCGTTTATTCTGTGTTTAGGTAGGGGCTTTGCGACGAGCTGATCACCCGTCCAAGGAGTCCTATAGTTCTTAAAAATGATCAATGAAACTGAGAAATCAGCCCTATGCTCCACAGTGGGAGCGAGAGAAACAAACAAATTTGCCTGCATTGTTGGATGGAAAGATAATGTCGATGATGAAGCAGGAAGGCTTTGGTGTGAGGCTGTCGTGGCGGCACTTCATGGAGGGAATGAAGAAGATCAAGCAATTTTCTGTCAGGACTGCGGTATCCGGGTCGATATTCAAACCCGAGACCTCACGATCATTGAAATGTTACCACACACAGCGTAAGGTCGCACAAACAATGGAATTAGCTACATCATAGTCGTTCGGGTTACAGAGACCTTATGATAGTTAAACGGGTAGAGGTAAGGAAAAAAGTTGTTCCTGTGCTTAATTAATTAAGCAACAATCCCTGAAGAAGGAGTAGAGTTATAGCCTCACAATTCTTGACCTTGGCATTAGATGGAGATGAGTGGTCAGCTTCACACCCGGCCTCTTTATCTTCTATGAAAGAGCCCCAAGTACCCATTAGATAACAGGCTGGATGGATCCCTGTTGCTCCTGCCGGGGATCGAAACCCGGCCGTCAATTCGTAGCCCGTCTCTATACTAACTGAATTCTCTCGAATACTAAACAGGTATTTCACAGAACTGATGGGCCAAGGCCCAACATATACTTGTGTATCAACAGATGGGCTGATTTTATGAAGCCTGATAATACAACAATTACTTCTTATTTATTAGTTTAATGTTATTCCCCATTTTCCCCAACGAATCGCTGAGATAGTAGGGTCTACATTATAATAGATTCTACCGCTTTCTTCCTCATCATTTTAAATTAATCATTCACAATCACATTTTCACACACTGATATTAAACGAAAGACAGTATTAAGCACCGTTAAATGGAACGATCGCGACAACAAAAAAAAATTATGAAGGCAAATAAAATTATCATTTCTTCTATTTGTGCGACGGTACAGAAATCTTTAAAAGTATGCATGTACACATTGTCGACAACCTATCCATGAATTTACTAGTTATTCATAATGAGGACATGCTATCGAATCGATTATCTCCACATTAATTCAGTTTCACAGGTATCGTCACTGCTGAATAGCACAGAGAAATTTCATTAAAATCGATCACTGTATAAATTGCACGGGAGGAGGAGTGGGTTGCTGCACTGTGCCGTGAGTTCACTTACTAATATTTCAGTTAGACACTTAATCCCAGGTTCTAGATTCTAGATCTTCTTAACAATATTCTATTTGCAGATTCATTTCCTACTAGACCAACCTAACACAGATTTCCTTAGTCTTCCTGAAAGGTTCACTGGAGTAGAACTGGATTAGGGCTTATCCTTTCACTTTTTTCCAATCTGATTTTTGTTATGCGATTACTCTGACGTGTATTGCTTGATTATAATGAAAAATTAAAGTAAACATGACGGCCTCTGTGGTCTAGTGGTCAGCGTTCATGGCTACAGATCGAGAGGTCCGGGTTCGATTCCCGGACGCTACAAGAATTTTAGGGCCGCGCCATAGCTCAACCGGTTAGTCGCTGGCTTCCAACCGCGGCGGCCCGGGTTCGATCCCGGGTCTGGTCAAGTGGGATTTGTGGTGGACAAAGTGGCGCTGGGGCAGGCAGGTTTTCTCCGAGTACTTCGGTTTCCCCTGCCAATCTTCATTCCGCCAATTGCTCCACAATCACCCTCACCTATCATCTGGGGCTGGTACAATAGGCCAGAAGTGGCCGCAGTACAAGGGACTTAGTCCCACCCCACTAGCAATAAAAAGAAGTAAACAAGAGCAGAGCTTAATTTTCGAAGGCGTTTGGCAGTATCAGAATCTGTTACTTTTGAACTTCACGAAGACATCGCACAGAAGTGACAATAATCATGGAATGCTACATTTTCAAATCGATTGTCTAGATTCTTTACTTTTGAAGATAGGCCTGTATTTGATTTCTTAGTGAAGGTCACTGGAAACTGTCTTTATTCTTGCATCAGACAGAATAATTTTTCTTTGATACTGTTTCCCTTGAATTATCAATAGGGTTCATCGTGTATCCCAAATATTTATTAATTTAAACTTATTTTCGTTATGTTAGTCTGATAATGTGAGGAATGCTGTCTTTTGGGATGAGGCGCCGTGAAGATCTTGTATAAACTGACGTTTCGGAGGAACATATCGCCTCCATCTTCAGTGTAGAAAAATCCGCGAGCAAGGACTCAGCGTGAGCAGGTGGCTGCAAACGCGTTCCTCCGAAACGTCGGTTTACATAAGATATACACGGCGACACATCCCAGAAGACGGTATTCTTTAGAATCACCACCGTGAAAACCTCAAATCTTACATGATATTATGAGCCTGAATATCTTAAAGTGAGAACTGATTTTGTTTCAGCTTAAAGCGCTCAGGACATGCTATATTAAAAAAAGATATTGACAAAATTTAAATCAATTATTTAATCACTGAGACAAAAAAAAAGAATAAATGAAGCGCCCCACCTGTGCCCGAAAAGAGCAAACTGGAAAGCTGACCTAAAGTGTCAATTTGATCGGCGATAAAATTGGAAAATCGTTGCACAAACAAATCCGTTATTCAGCCTTCAGTTGTACCGAAGATTAATTCTGTTATGTCATGTGGTTACTCATATAAAGGGCGGGTTGTAAACTGTGAATTATTTCAAGACCAGAAGACTATAAAGAAATCGTCAAACGCTCTTGCAATGACTGTGACTGGGTATAAGGCAGTATGGTCAACAGAAATTTGGGTTTACATCTTCAGAGTCGAACAGTAAGACCAGCATGGAACTGGTGGTAAGCAGAGCCCGCTGTCTGCTTCATATTGATTTTTCTTAACTTGTTCTTCGACCCTGAAAGTGGAAGCTTTATATTCCTTCGAAACGTCTGCTCATTTTCACCGGACTACACTACGTTATAACCCAGGAGACAGAACTCTTGTTGGCCACAACTGTGGGAAACTCAGATCCAGAAAGAAAAATATAGTTATATTCACCACATTTTATACATCATTTAAGGTAAATACTAAAAGGGTCACATATAGGCTCCGTACTATTTTCTTCTGGGAACTGAAAATTAACCATATTCACGAAAATAAATTATCGCCAAATCGGACCTGTAGATGTGGGACCTGCTACCATCTGTTATAGATGAACACGCAACTTATTTCCTTACACACTTCGCTACGCTCTTGTTACAGAACAGTTACAGAACTCATACCTTGGCGGCACTACGAGTGCAATGCGTACCTTGTGGTAGCCATGTCCGCTGCGTCCTGCTGCGGCTGTGCCGATGAGAGATCGCTTCTGTGTTGCTGTTGCTGGTCGGTGGAACGCCACGCTTTGCCGCTGTCGAGGCTCGGACTTGTGCGCGTCTCAGACTGCTGCAGGACCGGTTCTTCGCTCGCCCACCGCCGAGGCCCCTCGCCCCGGCCCGTGCCGCCAGTAGGCTGATGACCTCCGCCTACTCCACGACCGCCACCAACACCATCCTTAGAAGACATCAAGATCTGCGGCAAGAGCAAACACAATTCAATTAACACATCCAGGGATGCTGTAAACATCACAGCTTATTTCCATACATGTATCTCCATTAGCTTCCGGATTCTATCTCCTTCGCAAAGCTGGCTGAATGCAGACATCCCAAATAAGAAGCTACATACGCTGAATAGCGTTCTTATGATGTTTAAACACTGTCTGCAATAAAGCATTCCTAAAAAGATGACTGTTTTATTTCCGTTTATAATTGGGTGTAACACAGACTGAGGGTGTTTGAGAACAGGGAGCTGAGGAGAATATTTTGACCAGAGAGAGATGAAGTGACAGGAGGCTGGAGAAAACTGCTTAATGAGGAGCTTCATAGCTTGTACTCTTCGTCAAATATAATTAGAATGATCAAGTCAAGGAGGATGAGATGGGTAGGGCACGTAGCATGAAAATGGAGGAGAAGAAGAATGCATATATGTTGGAAAGCCGGAAGGAAGGAGACCACTGGGAAGACCAAGATGTAGGTGGGTGAACAATATTGAAATTGATCTTAGAGAAATAGGATGGGATGGTATGGATTTGATTGATCTGGCTCAGGATAGGGACCAGTTGAAGGCTCGTATGAACACGTAATGAACCTTAGGGTTCCATAAAATGCTGGGAAGTTCTTGAGTAGCTGCACAATTGGCAGCTTTTTAAGGAGGGATCAGCTCCATTAGTGAGTGATTTTCGACCTATATTCATTCCTCTGGTGAAATTTGATGTGAGAGAAGTGGATTGAACATGTCAAGTAAGTTGCGAGTGTTGAGACCTCTGAGTTTATGTCTCTCCGTATTTGCTTTTAGTTATTTCATTCTGGCATCGCAAAATCTCTTTCTTCTATTCAATTTTCTCGAATACAGTGTCACGACTTAAAATCGTCTGAAAATATTAAATATGTATGTTTTAATTCTACAGAAACTTCCACACAAATCGCAAATTATCTGCCGGGGGAGATCATTTTACTTATTTCTTACCTATTTAACTAACTTTTAATAGCTCAAATTATAGGCCTATAACATCGAATAACAAAGCAGGCTGTAATGACCTAATTTGAGGCGCTACCTCCGAATTTACTTGGAGAGATTTCAGAAAATCATGATAAATCCCCAGTCATGATACCCAGCTACCGAGCCAAGAGATGAACCTGAGACCTACCGGAAATGAGGCAGAAATACTTCCCACGTGACCAAGAAGTTCGAGGAACTATTGACACATTGGCCCCATAGCGATACGGCTACCCTGGCCTTTGTTACGAACAGAATAACCGCGTGCAACACAGACTCAAGCCTGTGCTTGCGGTATTCTGCATTTTAACATCGTGTGGGATCGGAGTGGGCATCGCAGGATATAAGTGTACAGTACATGTGGTCTCATATGTCAGAAGACCAAAAAATGAAGGGAATTTAAATGTTTACCCCTTGCACTGGATAGCTTTACCCTCTTAATTTTGTAAAGTCCGGGAAGAATACTATAGAGTGAAATTTTGTCCAACGTGAATTTGCATATACATGAAAAAGAAATGGAAACCGTTACTTTCCTAACTCGGAAGAGTTGAATGTACGCGATTCGCTAGACATGGTCCAGTACTGTATACGGAAAAAACGGGCTCCAGAGTTTCCTCCTACTCTTCCCAACACTCGCATCTACGTCTGTCGCATGAGCATTGCGTACAGCGTCATGTTGCTGTCTCCTTAAGAAGTTCAGTGAAGTTTACTTCCACTGTATTGCTGATTCTTACTATTACTTTACAATTACGGCACTTCCAGACAGCAGTACCCTAAAAGGTAAAGCCATCCCTCTAACAGGCCGCGGAAGCTCCCACATTTTCTGGGCAGTAGGCATATAGAGGGCGGTGAGGTTGTCAGTTTTACACGCCAGCTGCCCTTTACCCTTGGTACTCATTTCTGTTAGAGGCTGAGTCAACCCCAGGGCCATGGCACGGGTGGAAGGATTAGTTCAATTGAAAACTCCAATGGCATCGGGAATAGAATCCGCGACCTTCCAGCTTGTAGCATAGTGCCTCAACCAACTGCGCTACCGCGCGTCCCTGACAACAGTAGTCTATGGCATGAAAATAAAGCATTTCAAAGGGCAGTAAAGGGAAGAAAAGTCGGATCCAGGTGCTACTGGAACTTAGGCAGGCGTGTTCATATGTTTTTGTTTAACATGTAACGTATAAGATTCAACCAATGCGGACTGACTTAATCGCTGCTCTAAAGAGCCTAACACTAGCCCTGGACGAGGTTTCGCTGTAACTCGTACTTATCGACGTTACCGATTGTGAACGCGTGAAAAGGAAAATAGCTTATACGTATATTGTCGAATAAAAAAAAAGGACCGAAATATTCTTTTTCCTTTTAAATGTAGTAAATACTGGTGTTTGATTTTGTTGAGGGACAGGTTTCCATACTACACTGCTGATTTTTAATACTCTGTGTCCACTCATTCATGCCGCTGTCTCACATAACGTTCAGATCAGATATTATTCCATTTCTGAAAAAAAAAGAGACTTGAAGTACAATCGAATTAAGTGATGACGATGAAGCCTGCCTGAGATTTTGTAACTTTAATTTGACGTGTTTTTATGGGATGTATATTTAAAGAAGCAAGCACAAGAAATGAAGATCTGTGTCTATAGGAACCGCAGGACAAATATCCACATTTGTGGTTAAATACAAATATGAGATATTTTACGGATATAATTTCATTTAGAAAATGACATGTTTATGCATTGAGTTATTAATAATATAATAAAAGGACTGCGGCGAAAACCCACTTCCATCTCTTTGTATCTACTTTTTTTTCAGGTTTTATACCACAACACAAAGTACAGTTGCACAATCAGAGTTCAACCTCAGGGCTCAATATAAAAACACAGATATTCAGTAGTAACGACGGTAGCCGGAAGCTGATTTCCGCATTAAAATAAGGTCTCTTTTTGTACAGAGAATTCCTTCTGCTCGGAGTGCTTCACTTGACAATATGACTACGAATTTAAATATGATGCTTATTCGGAAAGTAACATTCGTTTGTTTTAAACATCAGATGCAGGAGAGGAGGCGAGCTCGCGCATGCGAGGTAACGTCACACGAGTCACTGTCTTATGTACCATCATATAACTGGTCACATAGTGTTTGTCCTTTTCCTTACAGAGTGAGTTATGATGTGTCCTGAGCCTGATAATCCCACCAGCTGCGAAATTCGCGCTGTTATCCGTTTTCTTCACGATAAAACTTGAGTGCTTCTTAAATCCATTGTGAACTATACGCAATTTTTCTGCAAAAATGTAATGAGTGAAGGATCATTAAGGCAATGGCATAAAATGCTCATAGATGGGCGAAAAATATTCACGATGAAGAGCGAAGTGGTCGGCCATCTATAGTGAGTGATGATCTTGTTCAAAACGTTGGCCAAAAAAATTGTGAAAGACGCACTTCAAAATTTCAGAAGTTTTGTATGAATCTCCACGAATTTCACGAACTGTTGTCTACGAGATTAGCACAGTTAGGCGAAGCTATCATAAGTTTTGGGCAAGACGGTTTCCGAAAATGCTCACGGGTGAACACAAAACGCAGAGAATGGCTTCGACTTTGAAATTTGATAGTCATACCACAAGGATGACGATGAATTTCTCAATCATATTGTGACGTGTTGAGCTATGGATGACGCCCCTCCCGCCGCCCCCGCCAGCCGTGATGCGCTGAGCGAAGCCGAAGTGAGCCGAAGTTAGCCGAGTCCTAGCATCCTGGTAGCTATGCAATGCGAGTCAACAGCGGTGACGTCACCAATGGATATCGCGGGTTGCTAGGCAGAGCGAGTAAACAGGATTGCGAGAGACGACGGTAGTAACAGCGGTTACTACCGCTAGCGTTGCTAGCAACACAGCGCCAGGCAACAAGGGTGCTTATTACGTGGCCGTTTTCTGTATTGTCCGATCGAGGCTACATGAGGAGCAGCGAAGGCTATTCACAGTTAGTCCTCGAGCTACCTCCGAGTTAGTTCCGAGTTAGCCAGCAACCAGTCAGTTGTATTGTGGCATTTGGAGTGTAGTATTTGTGATACTGCAGATAGCAGTAATTGTGAATCTGTAATTTGGGTGATTGTAAGTGCGAATGTGAAATAAAATTCGCTATATCAAATACGGCGTGAAGTTATTTGTCGCGTTATACGCCCAATACGTGACAATATCATTCGAGTAACAGGTGATGAAACCTGGGTTTCATTTGTGAATGTTGAAACGAAAGAGCAGTTGAAGCTGTGGATGCACACACATTCACCAGACAAACGTTGTTTGCCAGAACAATGATGGCAACTCTTTTCTGAGACAGGAAAGAATTGCTGATGGTGGAATTCTTGCAACAAGGGACCACAATTAACGTCAGAATTGTATTGCGAAACACTAAAAAACCGCATAGGGCCATTCAGAACAATACGTAGAGATCGATGACATTCAGTTTAGTGTTCCTCCATGAAAATTCGCTTCCACCTATAGCTACTCCAAGTCAAGCACCGCTGGAGCATTTCAACTGGGAGTTGTTTGACCACCCTCCTTATAGCTCTGGACTCGCTCCAAGTGACTACCAGTGGCTGAGATCATAGATCTTCAGCAATAATAATGAGCTGATGGTAGGCGTCAAAACTTGGCTAAGCTCACAGGCGGTAGACTTCTTTGACACAGGCATACAGAAACTTAAGACAGCTATCACTTATGTGGGAGATAAGAAATACACCAACCTCCGTCTAAAAAACCTAGAGGGAAATGACAACTTAAGATGCATAGGGGTAGACAAAAGAGTGATATTAAAGAAAATTCACAAGGAAAGAAGGTATCAATAATTTAACATAGGGCTGAGGAATTAGAAATTATATTATACTAATACAAACGGAACGATAAATATCGAAGACATCAGTTTAGTTTTGGCAAGTGTCAGGTTTAAATTATTTTAAACTTAAGTTTTTCAGTCAGCTTCAAAGGGCAGATCCTTTACTAGATAACTTAATATCAACATTTCATTTGTCAGATTAACAATGCTGTGTCTGCTACTGGTCATTTCACGTTCAGATGGGCAGAATAACTGACGGCGAGAACAGCTTCATCGGCTGGGAATTACAACCTTATGGAGTGAATAAATAGTTCTGAAACTAAAATTATCATTATATCATTCGCCATTTTAAAAGATTTTGGAAATGAATATGACATTTTAAAATAGAGCGGCACCATCCATATATTGTCTTAAAATAATATTAACACAAAACAGTGAGCCATTTTGGGGAGCGCCCTCTTCCTTCTTCGACCTTCGTCCGTCCTCTTTCCTCTTTCCTCCTTTCTCCTTTCACCTTCCTCCTTCCCCCTTCTTCCAAGAATTTATCTAACCACTGTTTGAAAACCCATGTTTCAGAACAGTAGAATTTCAGCACTATGTGGCAGGGAAGACTGCATATGACCTGTCTAGTGACATTTCTTACATTCTATTGCAGCGGTGAATTTAATAACAAAGGAGAATAAGTTTGGCTTCCTCGGAAGCGAAACCATCCAGTAGTCTTGCTAACTGCACACAGCTTGAGTACCGTGACAAGTTATTAAGTATGTAAATTAAACCATTTGCAGGGCTTCTTGTACACTGTAGTGTTTTCGTGATATTTTGTTCGTAGAGTTAAGATGCTGCAACTTAGTTCCAAATGCCTTTGTACACAGTAAATATTTACATGGGTTTACTGGAGATAGGCTACCGGCAATGTAGAGGAATCCAAATACATTTCTTCGAGTTATGTGCACCGTAACCGATTAGTTACCTTTCCATGTTGTCTTGTTGATTTCTAACTGCTGTCTCATGTATAAAGTGCTAGCGAGCCAATCCAACGCATCAGTGGCCTGACTTATTCTTTCTACATCATATTTTGTAATATAAAAGGTAACTGGAGATTATTCGAGAAGTTACGCAAAGGATATATATCGTTATATTTTGGCACGAAACGTGTATGAGATTTGTAAGTTTGGATATAAAGAAGGCAAACTACAAAAATCTGACAATATTCTGCAAGAATGTAGATTCCAATTCTTCGTGTTTCTTCACAGTTATTCTTTTCGGTTTACTTTTGTATGCTCCAGCTCTTAGAGTATTCGTCGTATTAGTTGCAGATTAGTCAGGATTGGTGTAAGGAACTTCATTCTTATGAGCACAAGATTCGAAGTTTGGGGAGAGAACACAGGGCCTAAGTATTCTAAGTGCATTCCTTGTGTATTCGTGTCGCTCGTTGATCTTTTCATCCATTTAGTGCAATTCAAATGCATTGCTGACAACTTAACAGTACAGAAACAGTAGCAAAAAGTCTCACATTCTGTATCTCTCAAAGCTGACGGTAGACATTTAAGAAACGTCTGAGTTATAAACAGTTTTATTCTATTTCCTTAATTATATCTGATGTCATACTGAAAGTGCTTTTAATTGAAAGTTTACATACTATCCAAGGAGCCGGTCACAGTGGCCGCGAGATCTAAGTCATAGATTATCTTCGTTCGCTCGAACGCTGGGATCGTGCGTTCGAATCCCATTCAGGGCATAGATATTTGATGTGTAATGTGTTTATTCTGTGTTTGCTTTGCCCTTTGTTCAGGTAGCGGCATTGCGACGGGACGATCCCCCGTCTGTCAAAAATGATTACGGGACTGAATAAGAGTCCTGGGCCCTGAATGGGCTGCAAGAACCATGGAAAGAAACACACTACCCAGTGAGCGGTGGGGATAGTGCAGTCGGTACAGCGACTGACTACGGGATGCACCATCTAGGAGTCTGAGTTCGAGTCACGATAGGGTCAAGAATTTTCTCTTCTCCACGTCGTCTAGACCGGCTCTGGTACCCATCAGCCTCCCATCCAATGGGTACCGGGGACAAAGCGGCCGGGGCGTGAAGTTGACCACTCACCTACAAATAGTGCCGAGGTCAAGAAAATGTGAATCTATATATCCACTTCCCCATACGCTTTCATGGTGTAGTGCTTAATTAATTTTTACCTTACCTTACGTACAGTACTATCCAGTTGCATGTTTTAAGTTGACACAAATGTTTGGTATGAGAATTTTTTTGACAAAATTTTTAGAATCTGATATTTACTTCGGATGAAGTGAAGCTTATAATTGTATTGGATCGAGTTTAAATTCACACAACTTTGAGCACAGAGCTTCAATATCAGTGTAATCAGGCGCGACTGAGTAACTTGGATATCAGAGAAGCTGATAGACGTACAAACATAAACTTCGTATGATGAATTCTCATTACGCACTTAAGGCAAAAAGTGTATAAATCACACCTTAACCATTAACTTAAGAATGAGAACGACAAAATTAAGAACTTCCGTCATTACGAATCACGAATTTGTAGTGTTTAGAGTTCATGACAGTTGGAACTGCTTACTCCGAACTATATGCATGCTTCTGGAGGCAGTAAGGATACACATGGACACAGTGTGACACTGCACATGTCACGGGAATGGTAGGTCCACGCTGCGTGTGTGCTGTTCCCAGGAGACTTCAGATAAAGGAAGATTATGGTAAGCATATGGAAAGAAAGAGTGTTTGCGGGCTTACCGTAGAAACAACTGCTACTGTGACATGTAAAATATTTGGCTACGTATTTTATTTACAAACTCATTCGAATTTACGGAACTTTAATTAAATAATGACGGTCGGTTTGATGTAGTTGTATTTTAGATGCTCCACATTTTCAGGAACTAATTCTGACGACCTATCAGGTATAGTGAGTCATTTTTTTTTGAGGGGGGGGGGATTTGTCACATTTNTTCGGTCGGAACACCAGGAATCCTATCTGATGTTTTCGTGATTTTCCTCAGTTTCTCTATTAGGCCAACACCGTTCCCCTCAAAATACTCTTCACGTTATCATGATCTGTATATTATCCTGCTCCCGGACGCTGTATATTCTTCAAAAATACTTTCTTCTGGGATGTGGCACCGTGTAGCTCTTGTGTAAACCGAAGTTTCGGAGGAACGTATCGCCTCCAACTTCAGGGTATAAAAATCTGCGAGCGAGTAAACAGCGTGAGCAGGTGTCTGCAGCCACACGGCGCCACATCTCAGAAGACGGCATTTTTCATAATCACCGCCGTGAAATCCTCAAATCTTATAAGTACAAAAAAGTCTGCTTAAATTAAACCTGTATTAAAAGGAATTCTATCTTTATCTGAAGATATTTTTGATTCCTAGAATATGAGTAGAAGGAAAATTCAGAATTGATTTCAACAAATGGGAACTCTTTAAGGTTGAAACAGAAAGAAGACCTTATGATTTAACAGCAAACAGTCTGTTGAATTATTTATTTCTTGTTTCATTATGTGCTTTACGTACTCCGTATTTTTATATGAGAGAGAATATTTATGTCAAAAATGGGATACAATCGAATCTCGGCTGTCTGTAAAATACAGATATTTTCAGAACACTTGCGGTATTCTATTGGGGAATATGCATTAGAAATGTAATAGCAGAGAAAGAAAGAAATAAAAAAAACAGAAAAATAAAAATGTGGACTTCTCAGTAACGGTATACAAAATAAATGTATTGTATTACTTCGTGGTTTTGCAATAGTTGTACCTATACATGGAGTGAAGATAAGAATACTGTAAGACCTCGCGCTATGTACTGTCCATTCATACGGCTATTTGTGATGAGCCAATTGTATCAGCTTCTGGCGATGAAGATGTTAGGAGACAAGTGCGAAACAGTCATGAAAGAATGACGACAGGGTAAACGGAAGTATTCGGAAAGAAACCTGACCCTGTGCAACTTCGTCCGTGGTCTTGGGACTTAACTCTAGCACCAACAAGGCAAGGCTTTCTTTATGCCTAAACAGCCTTTTTATTTTAAACAGAAACCTTATGGGGGCATGTCAGGTTCCTCGTAATTCCATTCTAAGACAGTTTTTCTTCTGTATTTGCTACAACTTACACTTCCTAATGACTTCCTAGTAGATTTGCTGGCTTTGGTGGACGCCGATGACTTAGGGGTTTTGGAGTCGACGCTGCCTGCCTGGTGTGAGTGGTGGGAGTACCTGCTGAGGGCGAAAACTTCCGCCAATCTGGACCGAGTTGGCTTGGAGTTGGAACTTGTTTTCTGAGGAGCAGTGGCTGTAATGGGCGACGTGACGGCACTGTTGCGCCTGTCGGGGAACACGAGGTGCTCGATGTTGGGTGTGTAGCTGGGGTCACTACGCACCAATTCCTGCAGCAACTTCCTTCCACCATTGCTTCGCAGCAGCTGGGCATTGCTGAAGCCGCGCCGCTTCACGCTGCTGTTGGATGAAGTGGACTCTGCCAGCTGCAGGAGTCGGCTTCGGTGTTGGCGGATGTTAACATCGTCGCGGCTCATTATGGCGACTTCAGGAGAGGAGTGCTAACATCCTGCGACAAGAAAAACGTTTTATTAGTATATTTATGTAGTAACTCCTTTTTCGTTTCTGTGGTAATTAGTGATATTTGTGGCCAATTTCACGCTCCATTTCACTTCGTGTTCTTAGAATTTGGGGGCAAGCGGTAGGGTAGTTGCTGAGGCATTATGCTACAAGCCGGAAGGTCGCGGGATCTAATCCCGATGAGGTGGATTTTTTCAATGTACCCAATCCTTCCAGCAGCACTATGGCCCTGGGGTCGACTCAGCCTCTAACAGGAATGATTACCAGGAATTTTTCTAGAGGTTAAAGGCGGGCGGCGAGTAAGGTTGACAACCTCACCGCCATCTGTGAGCCGATTATCTAGGAAATGTGGGAACCTCAACATCTCACATCCCTATGGGCCTCCACGGCCTGTTACAGGGATAGCTTTACCTTTACTTTTACTTCTTAGGATTTACGGAATTAAAGTACCAAGGATATTATGACAGGTTTGAACTTTGTAAGAGAAATGAGTTCATAAATTTAAATGCAAGGAGGCAAAGGAACGTAATCGGGCAACAAAGGAGACCCTGGACACGAGCTATCAAACCTGTTAACGATCTAAGCCCAGAATCTGGCAACAAAGTCTGGTTTATTTGCCAAGAAGGCTGTAGTGTAGAAGGCGCACAAGTTACTTTGTATGGAAATACAATGTAACCAGTAACTCGGATTTCATGTACTGTTCGCAGTTTCGACGTCAAATCGATCCGTTACATATATTATGCTCATAAAAATTACTTTACTTACTTTACTTAAGCCGTTCCTCCTATACCTTTAGGGTGTCGAGGTTGTTTTTTTTTTTGATCATTTTACAGCGGTAGAAATCTTTGAACGAGTGGTCACCTCGTCGCAAGGCCTCTACCTACACAGAGGACAGCACAAACACAGAATAAATATATACACATACCAAACATCCATGTCTTGTGTGGGATTCGAACCCACGATCCCTTCTTCCGAGCGACCGAAGACATCACATGCGTTATACCGCCTGGTTACCGTGACCGGTACGTTTATAAAAATTAATTCAGAAAAAAATTTAAGCAAATATTGATCAATTTAATTTATGTAAATTTAATTTTCAGTAAATGTTAAGGGTTTAATGAATTTTGCGTATGAGGCGTTCTTCGCACACTTGAGTACACTACCGAGATGTGAAGCTAAATTTTACTTTAAAATTTTGAATTTCGGAGAGTACAAGAAACACGTCCGTATCATCCGAAGATCTGACAAGAAGCAATTTCAGTTTCTGTGACAGGAGCCGGGATACCTCAGTCTGTATAGCGATAGGTTATGCACCCGACACCCGGGGAATTGCAATTCAATTACCGGCAAGTAAAACTAATTTTTCTCATCTCCACAGGTTCCAGATCACGTCTGTGGCTCATCCACCCTCCGATCTAATGAGAAGAAAGACTATTTCACCAAGGTTAAGGTGGAATGGACGTGAAGCTGACCACTCAGTTCCATTTACCGCGGAGGTTAAAATGTATTTAGCTATTCCTTCACTCCCACACACGTCTTCACAGCGTTGAATTAAGCATATGGATAACTTTGCCTTTTATCCTTGACACAATTCGAAAATTTAGAACGTGACTATGTCAAGAGAAGTTACGTATCATTTCGCAAAGATTGGAACATTTAAACCGAGAAGCTGCATCACAATTGCTCTAATATATTTCTGGTTGCCTTCACTTTTAACGTTCTTTTGACAGCTGGAAATAATTCCGTCTGTGGGGCGTGTCACTTCAAAGTTTCTTACTCGAAGATGAATGAGTGCAAAAGCCGTCAAAACTTCATCCAAATCGATTCCTCGAAACCTTCAATGAACAGCATACTGCTAGTGTAAGACAAAACAGTAAAAGTACAATAACTCAAAATCATACTGTGGCGTGCAGCCTAAAAGTCGAAATATCTGAACACAGCGAGCGTCCATTGCTAGACAACGGCTTGTTAAAACGCGTGACTGATTTTTCCTTCTTGCGGTGTTATCTAGAAATAGACGCCTGCTCTCTTAAGATATTCCGGCTTTTAGGCGGCACGCCACAATACTTAAGTTAATACATAAACATAGCTCAAGCGGATAGTCGTAGGTTCCTCACCGCGGCGGCCCGGGTTCGATCCCGTGTCTGGTCAAGTGGGATTTGTGGTGGACAAAGTGGCGCTGGGGCAGGTTTTCTCCGAGTATTTCAGTTTCCCCTGCCAATCTTCATTCCACCAATTGCTCCACAATCACCCTCACCTATCATCTAGGGCTGGTACAAAAGGCCAGAAGTGGCCGCAGTATAAGGGACTTAGTCCCACCCCACTAGCAATAAAAAAAAATACATCAACCTATGTCAAAGTTAAATATATTAACCTTCAAATGAAATAAATGTCTAATAATCACTTTAGTTAAATGACAAATCAATTAAACTAAAATCATCCGAGAAAACCGGCGATATGCAACATTACATTCTGAGATCAAGAAACATTCATTACTCTTCGGAAAAACTTTGCAACAGCAGAAGGGCGATAAGAGTTACTGCATTACTTATTGACGGCGATAACTCATATGCACTGAAAATTATAATCTTCTGGGCTATAGTGCCTTGTAGTCTGTATATGAACCGACGTTCCCCCGAAACGTCGATTCATATTCCGACCACAAGGCAGAAGATGACTTTTCCCATAACCACCTCTGTGAGAACCTTAAACCATATTCCTATGGACTATGTACAAAAATTTAGCAATAATTTTTATGGCAAAATTAAATTTACCAGTATCGACGAAGTTTTGAGTGTCATCAGTGTAGGTTCCAACTTCATCGACCAACTCGCCTATTGATCAGGTATTCATCATTATCCAGATATTGAAGAAGTAACGGGCGGACAATTTAAGGGTCCAAAACCTATAATGGACACCATAAAATCCTTTACCCGAATTAGGAGAGAAGTATTTCATAACAATGTCACGTAATCTGATATACTAACGAAACTAGCTAGGTCATTTGCAACGCGTTTAGCCGGAACATATGGAACAGTCCCTAGAGGTAAACATTGACATATAATGCATTTACTGTTCAGGAATGCTTTACTGTTACAGCTTCTGAACCTCGGCTTAGAGTACGTCATTAGGAAAGACCAAGCAAAACAGGATGAACTGGAGTTGAATAGGATACATCAGTTTCTGGTCTGTCCTGATGATTTTAATTTCTTTTGCCGAAAACATAACCGTGGGGAGAGTGGCGGGGCGGGGACTCACCTATTACCATAGTAACGCGAGCGCTACGTTACCGCCACGTACCGCTGGGGACGTGGGTGTCCTCCATTGCGCAACATGTCACAATATGATAAAGCAAAATACTGTGACATGTGAATCCATTGCATAGGTAACGGCTTGTTGATACATGTATCCGGGACGACCAGCTGGAGCAGTCGATTGTTGAGCAACGGCTCGATAAGCATTTTTCTCACGGCAACGTAGACAGACGTTACCTGCACAATGGAGATGTTTTCATGACAACGGATAGCTGAACTGTTCGACTTGGTGTCCCCTATTCGGTACGTAAAGCAAATATAAAGTAGCAGCAAAGCAGCAGTGGCAGTAGCGAAGTCAGAAGGAGAAGAAGTGAGTCGGCAGTGAATCAGCGTGCTTTCAAAGTTAAGCAGAATTCGAGAAGACTAGAGGCTAGCTATTAATACAAGATCCAGGCAACAACGAGAGATTCATTATCCACAAGGAGTTAAATGTTGAACTGTTATAATCGAATGTAATTGTAATAGTGACGTCAAATAAATCCAGTCATTACATTTAGAATCCAAAATTATTCGTTACCCCGGTTACACGTAACAATACAGAAAATATGTCAGAATTTAATAAGGACATTAAACTAGAAATACATACAGTAAGGTCTAAGAATATATTCCTATCTCCTAACGTATGCTAAAGTTACAATATAAACATATTTAATTAACCTTTCGAGAATCTGGCAAAGTTCTAACACAAAATTAATTTATATTCACGAAGAGGAAAAGAGAAAACTACAGACGAGAATGTTTGCTACCATTCACTTCATAATATTATATGCTGCCGTCTTCTCTCTAAGAGACTAAAGTTTCTGCTGTTTAATGCTAGGGCACAGCTTGGTCTCTCACGTCTAGAGATGAATATGAGTTGAGGGCGTTTGTGAGCAAGAAACTGTTGATAGAATTTAGGCCTAAGGGAGTGGAAGTAACAGCAGGGTACGAAAGGTTACGCAATGAGGACGTTCGTAATTCGCATTCTTTGGAGAATATATGAGGGTGAACTCACTGTGTATGAGAGAAGTGGAACGCGTGAGAACGTTGGAAGATGAGAATTTGGTGCCAAATTTCAGTCGTAACACGTGAAGAGAAACAGGAACCACTTGGGAAATGTAGGTTTACACGAGGAAATTATGTTAAAATGAATCTGATGGACATTAGATTTGAGGAAGTGGTATGGGTTCAATTTGCTTAGAATAGGTCATGTGGGGGGGTCTAGTGGACATGTCCAAGAACTTTCTGGTTCTATAAAATATGAGACATTTTTAATAAGCTCAGCGAATATCAGCTTCTCAAAATGGACTCTATTGCATAAAGTCGGTTTATAATAATCATTGTTATTATGTAATCGGTTTTGAATCACCTCAGTGAAGTCAAAATATTAACTTGCTTAGGTAAAATAAGTTGTAATGTTATCCTCATTTCTCTCTCTACGTGGCCTATCGATTTTTGTTTTAAGCAGAATTTTGTGTGGTGGGAGAATTAAAATGATGTGTGAAGAAGTAGCTGTGACATGTTTCCAAGTAGGCGTACTATCTCAGAATTCGCTTAGAGTTACTGATGAAATCCATGAAAATTCTATCCCCAAATCATGGAATCTCCCTTATAGTAACATTAAAAAGGATTGGTCAATTTATACGTGAATAAAGTCCCAAGTTGGAATCTGGAACAAATTTATTTCATTTAAAGC